CCCTTCTGCCGATCCTCCCGCCGTATCCTCCCCCTCCCGTCTCAACCACCTCGCCAGCCTCTCTCTCTCTCTCTCTCTCTCGCTCTGCCTCTGCCCCGATCACACGCGCGCGCACACACACACACACACAAACATTATGCTGCCTGGTTGGCGCCAGCCCGCGTGGCTGGCCGAAATCCTGCTCTTTGCGGCACTATTTGCGGTTTTTGCCTGGCCCTCGGCCGGTGGTGCGTGCCTACCCGTCTCCTGCCACCGCATCTCGGCCCTGGATCCCCCTCGTCCTGACCTCAGCCTCCACAGCACCAGTCATCTTCGGCAATCGGGTGCCGGAGTACACATGCTCGCCCTACACCAAGCAGCTGTTTTCTTATTCGGCCCGGATCACCTCGCGGCCGGGGGGCCTTCCAACCGACTCCCGGCCCTCTTTGCCACCATCAGGCCTGCCGGCCTACAATGGCACAATCATCACCCCGGCCGCTGACACCTGCAGATGGACGATCTCCTCGGACGCCGCCACCGGCATCCAATTCTGGGTCGATCACTTTGCCTTCGCCCCGGGCACCCGGCTGAGTGTCTACACTGGACAGCATGCGGTGGCCCACGCATTGTTCATCGAGCTGACAACGGCCTCGGTGCCCGGGATGCCGCCTTCTGTGCGCATTCCGGCGGCTTCGGCTCTGCACTATCTGCCCGCCTACCGCCAGACCCCAGACACCGAGGGCTCCGAAGAGGCCGACCTGGAGGGGCCTGAGTCCGAGGACGATGTGTGGCTTGATCTGCCGGAAATGGATGAGTCCGACACACCGGTGTCCCCGCCCCACCCCATCCCCCAGCGTCCAGAGCGCCTAAACCTGCACTTCGTTGTGCCGGCCAGCGCGGCACATGTCCTTGTGACCCCCCCGCCTGCCGGGTCTGCGGCCAGCCTCTCACCCGGCCATCCCTTGACCGGGCTTAATATGCTTTACGAGCTCCAATGTGCGTCCGATCTCGGCCTTCCGGGAGACCGTCCACTGCCCGGGGCCTTTCACCGATGCCCGCATGTTCGATTTGCCTTCGCTCGCGTCTCACCTTCTGCCCCCCCCCCCCCCCGCCCTTGGTAGACACTCCGTGCACGCGTGGCGCCGAGTGCCCGGCTGGCTACTACTGTCCCAGCCACAACAATCGACCGGGCTCCGATGGTGGCGATGAATCCACAACGCCGAACCCCCCCTCGGGGCTCGGTGAAGAGACCGGCGCCCCGGTGGGTGACTCACTCGGCGACGAGTCTGAGCTCCCGGCCGAATCCTTTGTTCGCAAGTGTCTCCTGAGTTCGGCCAATCGCCGCGCGGACTTCCGCTGCCTGCCCGTCGGGTATGACTCGTTCCACTCGCCCGGCACCAATGGGCTGTTTACCATGATGCGCATGGACCCGACGGGCGATCGCCCGGCCAGCCCGGCCACCAGTGACATCACCTGTGAGTGGGTCATCGACTCGCCGGATCTCTTCCGGGGGGTCCTGTTGTTGGACTTCGTCCGGCTGCAACTTGAGGTAGATATTCTTGTCAGCGAGTTGCCAGGTGACCTTCTTTGTGGCATTCTTCTGACCCGCATCCCCCCCCTCCCCCCCCCCTCCCCCCTCTCACGCCACTGCCAGGATACGGATCTAATCGAGGTGATCCCTCTGCCCCTGGGCCAGCTCCCTTCTCCGCCTGGACATCCTGACGAAAGTGCATCCTCCGATGTCGGGTCTGCTGGGTCCTCCCTGTCCGAATCGTCATCTCACTCGGCCGGATCTTCCAACTCCACTCACTCGGCTTCTGGCGACTCGTCTTCCAGTGGCTCCTTCGGAGGCGGGACCATTCCTCGGCCTTGGCCGGACTTTGTTCCGCCCTATTGGTTCGGATACCTGCGCTGGTGGCTGGAAATGCTGTGGCCCTGGTTCCCGAAGTCCTCCGAAGCCGGGATGTCGGCGCACTTCGACGCGGTGCGCGTGCATGGAAGTGCGCTAGAAGGCCAGTCCATGGCGCTCGGCTCATCGCGAGCCGTCGTGCGCGTCGTCTTCTCCAATGGCCCCGCCGAGACGGGCGATATGGGGCAGAACGCCAGCACCACTGCTCGGCGTGTCCTGCTGGATCGTGTCAATGCCGTCGCTGAGCGTAGTGGCCTTCAAATTCGCTATACGGTCCCCTGTGCGTGCCTCTTCCTTCACCGACACGTGTATGTCCGCCGTGCTGTTGTGCCTGCTGACCGACGCCCGCCTCATGTCCTCCCCCCTTTTGGCTTCCTTGCCTCCGTACCCAGACCCGGACATGTGCAGCCGGAGCACCGACTGCCCGGCCTTCAAGGCGCTCCCCTCGGAGAGCGGGGCATCCGGTGCCTTCTCCGAGGCGCCAGCCTCCTCCCCCTTCGGCCGATGGACCTGCGACGAAACCCGTGTCTGCCAGTGTGACGATCTTTCCGGCCAGGGGAAGTGCGCCGCCATGTATAGCCGTACGTGGTCGGCGCCTCTGTGCACCTTCCCCCCCCCCCCCCCCCCACAGCTGATCTCTCCTCCGAGGTCATCATCGTCATTTGCTTGGCCGTGGTCTTTGTGTTGATCATTGCCGCCGCTGTGGGTCTGGTCTGCGTGCGTCACGGCTGGTGGGCGCGTTACGGCTTCCCCCTGACCCAGCACCAGCGTCGGGTGCGCGAGTATGATGGGCTCTTCCGCGGGCTGGACTCCGGAATCAATGCCGACCCCGGTGTCAGGGTGTACGAGCAGTATCAATATGATCGGGCCCTGGCCGAAGCCCATCTCCGGATGCTGGAGTCTCACCGGCCGGACCTGCCGGACTTGCTGCTGGATCGCCAGCAGCAGCGCGAGGCTGCCACCACCGCCGGTCCCGACCAGGCCCCTCTCATGTCAGATCTCCCAAGCGAAGAGGGCGCCCTGATGAGTGTCTTCCTGGATCGGCTGCTGGGCCGGACGACATCCAGCGAGGAGGTTGCCTCCTCGTCGGCGGCAGCCGTCTACCCGGAGTCACGGCCGATGCCCCCCCAGGGTCGCGATCCTTCGGTCGCTCGTCGGAGCAACTTCGACCAGGACTCCTTCTACCAGGAACTGAGTAGCGGCAAGTTCGATGGGCTCTTCGGGATCAATCACTCGGAGTATGCGGTGGTTCCGGATGCCGGGTTTTCCGACATGTCTGACTCCGACATGTCGGACTCCGAGTTGGACGGCGGGCCGGAGTTGGGCCTCCCTCAGGGGCCATCTCCCGGCCGGGTCGCCGTACGCATTGACAGCCACACGGATGATGACACCTTGACCCCGGAGCAAGACACCTTCTCCGAGGTGACGCCCCTGCTGGGGAACATCCAAGAGGCCACGACTCCGTGGTCACTTCAATCGCACACCAAGGATGCAGCGGTCGGCTGGTCCGCCCCGTTGTCGATCGGTACCATGGGGGAGGACTTTGATCTTGTCCCGGAGTACCGGTACATGAGGCTGGAGATGCAGCAGCTCACGGCAGCGCAGGTCCGTGCCCAAGCCGAGGCAGATGCCATTGCCCGGTGGCGACACCGGCTGTTCCGCCGACAGCAGCGGGCCAAGCGCCGCGAGCTGGTCAAGCGTGTGGCTTTCGACGACATCCCAACCCCGGAGCTGGGGTTCACCTCGGAGCTGAGTATCCCACAGACGAGTCTATCATCCGGGTGGACCAATATGGATGCCCAGAATCTCCCGGCTCCCTAAAAGTTCGCAAGAGGCATATCTCTTTCTCTCTTTCTCTCTCTCTCTCTCTCTCTCTCTCTCTCTTTCTCCTCGCTCTTTTCGTGGCGAAGGGGGTTCGTTACTTCCCCACGACGACAGGAGGGGAGCACACATGTACACTATATAGGGCGCGATGGCGCACACAATTCGCTTGTCCGATTTTTGGGCAGTTTATATTGTGCGCCGGGTGTCGGGCGCGTACGCGCGCGCACGGGAGTGCGCGTAAAGGAGGGAGGAGGGCGCACGTCCAGCAAGGCGGCGCGCACCAAGGGGGAAGTGTTGTGAAAAGATAGAAAGAGGGAGGAGGGGAGAGACAGGAGGAAGAAGGGCAAGGACAGGAGGCGGCGTCACTTGGGTGAAGGAGGGAGGAGACATTTGCGTGCACGTGCGCGTGCCTTGATGCGTGCACGCAATGGTGCTCCCCGCGCCTGCTGTGAACATGTGTATGTGTGTGTGTGTGTGTGTGTGTGCATGGATGTGGGTGGGTGTGGGGGGATGTGCGGCTTGTAGGTATCAGAGGGGAGGTGAGGTTGAGGGAAAGTGGGAGTTTGTGTGTGTGTGTGTGTGTGTGACAGAGAGAGAGAGGGTGGGGACCAACAGTCACACTCCTCGAGGGGATACGGCAGCTCAGCAGCAGGACTTGGAGGTGTCGGCCTCGGCAGGGTCCTCATCGGCGGCCAGAGTAACACCACGCCGGACGGTGGGCGCCGCACCGCCGTGAATGTTGTAGCTGTTGCTTGTCCCAGCGCCGCCGGATGCCGCGCCAGAGGCACGCTTCTCCTCCTCGGCCTTGAGCATGGCTGTTTTTTTTTTCCCCCGGCAAAAGCAAGAGATGTCGAGAGGATACTTTGTCAGGATGCGAGAGGGGGCACGCTTGGCGGCATGGAAGATGCGAGAAGAGGGAAGGGGTGACGGACCGCCAGCAAGGGAAACAAACAGCTGCTCGACGCCGGAGTTCATCTTGGCCGAGGCCTCCGTAAAGAGAGCCGAGTTGGCGGTGGCATAGCTAGATCAAGCGCGGACAGGATGCATTAGCATGGGGGGGCGGGGGGAGGGGGGGGGGCGCGCGCGCGCGCGCGGGATAGACAATGCACTTGGAAGCTGGGGCCCGGGGCATGTGCACGCACCTTTGCGCATCCTCCTTGGAGATCTTGCGATTCCGGTCCAGGTCGCTCTTGTTGCCGACGATGATGATCGGGACTTTCGGCCCAAGCAGCGAGCGGATCTGCATCAACCAGTTTTGCATCTGGAAAGGAGCCGAGGGATGGTGTCAGATGCTGGCTTGGAGAGGAACAGGAAGAGAGAGAGAGAGGGACTGATATGGAGGGGGCGGGGGGGGGGGGGGGGGGGGGAACGCACGCGTTGGTAGGAGACCGGGTCGGTGATGTCGTAAACCAGAACAACACCGCCGGCATCGCGGTAGTACATGGGCACCAGTGCGTGAAAGCGTTCCTGGCCAGCGGTATCCTGAGTGGGGGACGAGGGGAGGTGTCAGATGTGTGGCAGGAGGGCAGAGGAAGAGGGAGAAAGGCAACACATGAGGCAAGCCCCGTACCCAGATGTGCAGCTCCACGCGGTTGTTCTTCAAATTGAAGCGCTTTGTCAGGAAGGAGGCCTGAAGCGTAACATCATGGCTGTCACGGAACTGGCTCTTGCAGTACTGCAAGACAAGGGAGGTCTTACCGACGCATCCTGTGCGAGATTGGAGGAGCGGGGAGCCGGGTGAGCAGCGGTTCAGCATGTGCGCGTGGTTGGGTGCATTTGTTTGTCTGTGTCGGAGGACAAAAGGGGGGGGGGGGGCGAAGCGAGCGTGCAGAGGGGGATGAAGTTTTGTGGGAGTCTCTCCGGCAATCGAACAATCAACGTACCCTCTCCAAGAAGGACAACTTTGAAGGTGAACTTGTCCGGGGTAGCGGACATGGCAAGCCGTCGAGGGGTGTGTAGGTGTGTGTGGAAAAAGGAGGATGCTCTTAAAGCGGGGCAGCGCCGGGATCAGGTGCGAAGGGTGGGGGGGGTCCGGAAGGGGGGGGGGGAGCTGGGGGCTACTCGATCCCGGGAGTGGTGACAGGGAGAGGGAGGACAAGGAGAGGATAGGGGGAGCTGTGTGGAGGGGCAGTCGAGGCGTATATGTGCGTGGGAGGGAAGGCGGGGGG